AAAATTCATATTTTGTTACGAAAGTTACACTAATACACATTACATTTTAAAGCCTTATTAATAAATATATTTTATGAAAGATTCAGTAAGAAGTTCGTAACATATAATTATTTTTCTATTACTATTCCAGTAGCTTTCTTCCTTATAAGAAGAGTATAATGATAATCTCATTCTTTTGCAGTATTCCACCAAATATTCTCGCCGTATCGTACTGCGCCTACGTAGCCAATCGTACCAAAGACAACGATGAATCAAATTGGAAAAACTTATGGAATGATTTTTCGGGATCAAATTTCGCCGCTCAAAAATCGATTATACTTCAATCTTACGCCTGCTCTACTAACGAACGTTTCCTGAACGAGTAAGTTAATGTTAATCACAATTTAATTAGTAGTGGGATAGTGAAGACAAATGCTTCTGTCGACTGCAATCTAGTCTGAAACTGTACCATCTGAATTAAACTGAGTAGATAAAGTAGATAAGAAAATTATCAAAAGATATAATTGTGGTAGAAATTCACAATTTGCTTGTTAAACCTTTTGTCTACTTTGCTAGAACGAAAAGAGACCTCGTGTTTGAAGTAGCCTATTGGTCAAAAGTGGACTCGAGTCAGTAATGACTTCGGATCAAGAATGACTCCGGGTAAAAAATGGACTCAAGCTAGTAATGACCCCAAGTCGAAAGTAATTCTAGGCCAGAAGTGGGTTCAAGCCATTAATGGCCCAGGGTCAAAAGTGACTCAGAGTCAGTAATGACCAATAGGCCACTTCTGACTTAGAGTCAAAAGCGACTCTAAGTCATACCATTGGTCAAAAGTAGAGCAAGGCCAGGGATGGTCTCAAGTCAGAAATAATCCCGGGGCAAAAATTGTTTAATCCTCCCTTCTACTATGTCAATCAGGTTGACGAAAAATCCTAATTTCAATTTGTTTACTTACCCCTGTTACAGTTTGCTCACCAAAGCGATCACGAAAGATTCTGGGATACGATTCGAGGATAGTTCGGGCGTTTTCACTTCAGTTATCAACGCTGGTCCGCACGGTGTTAAGCTCGTCATCGAATTTATAAAAACTAATTATGACAAGATGGTTGCCTAGTAAGTAGAAAAAAAAAGAATACATGGAGAATTATATTACGATTTCAGATTGAAGTCTGAATAAATTCCTTGTTTACCATTTTTACAGCTACAAGCAAGTCTCTAATGTCGTCAGCATAGTGAACACGGTTGGAAAGAACGTGTATTCGAATGAACTTTATGAATTGGTAAGTATAATAATATTGGATTACTTCAATGAGGGTATTATAATATCGAAAGGTAATGTTAAATAACTGTATTAATAAGAGTAAGAGGTACGCAGACGACGTAGAAGACATATTTTATAATTGACTTTTGGCAATTTTATTATTCATGGAGATAAAATAAATTTAGTGTTATTAAATAACTTTATCAAATATCAAACCGTAATGTTGAATAAGAGAGCATAAGAAAAATAAGAGTGTGTGTATATTTCAGGTAAACTAGGAAACATGTATTTATAAGTTTCATTTCTTTGCAGTTTCATTTCTCATGAGAATAAAATAAATTTAATATTATTAACACTTTATAAAGCATCAAAACGTAATAATGTCAAATAATAGTATGAATAAAAATAAGAGTATATGTACATCAAACAAATTAGAATTTTTATAAATGAGTTTCATTTTATTATATTTTCATTAGTGATAAAGATCAAATAAATTCAATATTATTTTTGTCTTATCAAATGTCGTGATTTGTCCCACAGTACCTGGAATTGGTGAACGAACTCACAAGCAGACTATCTACAGAAAACTGGAAATCAAATAAAAATGCCGTGGAGTATGAGTTAAATTGGGCCAAGAGGAATATACCAAAAATATTCAGTTGGCTCGAGCAGTATTATTCATCGACCGACTATCGTTTACCAAGATTGTTCACCCCGTTGAAATACGACATCTTCTTGACTCCAAAGCTGACCGAAGCCTCGTTCGCCGGAAAAGTACAGATAGAACTGAAACGTTCCGCCAATTACCTGTCCCACATAGTCCTTCACGCACACAAACTGAATATCACAGGCGTGCATGTGTACGAAAGTTCAAATTCGACCAAAGGGAGCGAACTGAGTATTAACCGCCGCGCACTGATAAAGGTTACGCAGATGTATTGGATATTTTTGAATAATTTTGTGAAAAGCGATCAGATCATTGTTGAACTAAATTATACGGGAACGCTGAACGATAACATGCAGGGCTTTTACCGAAGTTATTACTTCACACGTGATAAACAAGTTCGGTAAGCACAGTTGATAATTAATTAAGTAAACTAGTCTAAAAGAAATTTATTGAAAAATTTAATTGAATTTTGTACAGTTGGTTGGCTACGACTCAATTCGAGCCAACGTATGCCAGGCAAGCCTTTCCTTGCTTGGACGAACCATCCCTCAAAGCAATATTTGAAATCCACATCGAGAGACCCAAGAATTACAAGGCGCTTAGTAACATGCCTGTTGCATCAACAGACCGCTCAACGTGAGTAAAGAACACTGACAATAGGTGTAATTCGTTTATTTTTAATTAGAGATTATATAATTTTTTATTTTTTTATTATTATGAGATTATTTCTAGTCCCAATACTTATGTGATTTTAAAGAAAAGAGAAAATAATATGAAACAAGACAGAAATAACACGTTTCTTCTTGCTCTTCTGTAAAATGTCATCTTTGTTAGATGCAAATTAGTATCGATATATCATATAATTACATATTTATTGAATTATTTTTTAGTATTCCAAATTACGAATTGGATCACTTTGAAAAGACGTTTAAAATGTCTACGTACTTAGTGGCATTCGCGGTCACCGATTTTGAGGTCGTAAGACCAGGTTACGACCGAATAAACGTATGGGGTAGGCCAGATATCGCGTCGAAAGGTGACTACGCGCAAACCATTGCCACGCAAGTGCTCGAATATCTGCATCAGGAAACTGGACACGCGTACAGTTTGCCAAAATTGGATTTAATCGGCATTCCAGATTTTCAATCGGGCGCTATGGAAAATTGGGGTCTTATTACATTCAGGTAAATTATATTCAATTCACAGTGATTATAAATTTTAGAAAATTACACTATGATTTCTTATTTAAAAAAATATATCATTAACATACAATTATAAAATCTATTTAATAAAATAATGGCACTATATCATTCTTTTTATTATGCTTTTTCAGAGAGTATGGGCTTTTCTATGATGGGAAGGTTACAACAACTAAATATACGGACTATATAATCACTATAATTGCTCACGAGCTTGCTCATACATCGTTCGGGAATTTGGTCACTTGCGACTGGTGGGAGTACATATGGTTGAACGAAGGTTTTGCTGAGTACATGCAATGGCGCTTTGCACATTTGGTAAATATTTGTAGAACACTTATAATTTATGTTTAACGAAGTTCTATCAATAATGGAATTAAAAAGATTTTAATGAAATTTGGTAGACTGATATGTAAAGCTTTTAAAATGATTTTGGTGACCAAGAGTACCTAAGAAAAAAGTTATTAAAGATTTCAGTTTGAATTATTTTATACTGCTTCTTATTTAGGTAAAATGAAGCACTTGGCAATCAAGTACTGCTAGAAATTTTCCTAATCAAACACAAATAAATATTTGAGAGCCAAATGGATATTAAAAAATAATTAATTTAGATGACCCTTTTGTTTGAGATATATTTTAAAGAAGGATTACACAGATTCTTTCTGAAACACAGTTTTTAATTCTACTTCTATAATTACTTAAGGCTGTATAAATCCATACATAAAAACAATGACAAAGCATTGAAATTTTAACAGTTACTAGATATTACATTAATAAAACACTACAAAATTTTAGAAATTTTGCGAACCTATTAAA